TCTAACCGCCCTGACTGACTGTCCCAGCAACGGGTCTTGTAAGAAAAACGCAGGCGAGACCGTCCACGTTGATGACGTCATACTATGATGTGGTCTTGCGCTGAAGTCGATGCGCAATGAAGAGGCTTCGTTTTGCGGGTTCCGGGCCCATTCTCTAGTTTTTTCTTCACTGCTGCAGCCTTCTCTTCTTCTACGCTTTATTCCCAACAGGAGGTCAAGCCGTTGTACCATCTGCCCTCAAATGCGGGTTATTGAGAGCACACGGAGGCGGTGCGCTTACTAACAGTTACTGACTCCGACTGAATGCAGCAAGCAGGATGTACCCTGTATTCTAAGACACGGTCGATGAGCAATGATCCAGGTGTTGAGGCTTTTCTTACCTGGATAAAGTCGGCTCAAAGAGAAGACCTGCATGCGAGCATTGGGCACAGCCACTTGACAAATAACTGCTCGGCCCATAGTGATCGTGAAATCGCCCATACCCATGAGGAACCCGACTACAGCGACAACGGCTCTGCTGAAATTTCAAGTTGAAATTTGTAGTGTGAACGATTTGTATATGCTAGGAGCTCATAGCATAACAGAGGTAAAGCTTCATGATAGTGTCCTGAGTAACGTTAAGGCAATTTTTTTTATCAATCCAGGTTTTGAAAAGGCTACTGAATGAAGCTTCGAAATCTTGGGAAGCTTGGAAACATAATCTGTAGAAAGTGTGTACTCGTCATGCCATGACTCGAAGGCGTGGAACATGGGCACTAAGGAGTCGACATAAATGTATCCTCTCGTGCGATGCGCTGTGCATTCCACTTCCGTTCAGAATCGTTGCACCATTGGACATGACATGGTCAGCAGTAATACCATCAGTATACAAAGAATGGCTTGTGCGGCCAGCTAATGTACTATTCAGTGCTTTCATTACCTCTACTGCCCTCGTACCAATTATAGGCCGCGAAGAAATAAAACTTGGTTCAATCACGAGTTTATTCTTAGGCAATACGCGCGGGTGAACGACTGAGCGTCACATCACCTATGCCCAACGAAGAATTGAGAGCGTAATGCTCAAAATGCCTTTTTCTATTTATTTGCGCTAAGTTTTAGGATTCCGAGAGTTTGTTGGGAGTTTGATCCTGAAGATCAGTTGTGCAGCAAGCCAAAGCATAACCACTCTTCTTCGTGTATCTTAAAGTCGATTCCTGGCACAGCCTCACTGAAGAGTCGCTCCAGTGTGGATAGCTATGTGTGGTCCGCCATTGCAGAGATCACACCACCTTCGCACATTGAAACGCGTCACTTAGACGCTTCCGTGAGAATTTTGATCAAATCCACCAAATTAATCAAGGCCCTATCTTCGATATCTTATATGTGCAGTAATGTTGGTCTACAGGGGCGGAAATGGTGTAGTAGTGCAAGTGGCACGCTTACCACGCGAGCGGTCCGGGGATCATTGGTACCAGACTTGTCTGGGAGGATAAAAACACTGACTTGTACATCGGCTGGCCCCCGCAAGTCATTGTATAGGCCACATCGCATTCAAACGCCACTACGAATGTACAAATGGAAGTAGAATGCGTGCCGCATCCCAAAAAGGGATTGATCAACGGCAAATGCTTTATCCTTTATCCTTTTAAATGTTGGTCTGCTATCTCTCTGCTACTCTGACTTGCAGCCATTTCCGTGCCTTCAACATTATCTCCCCCAGTTAGCCCTCAAAATCTGAAATAAAAAAAAAAAAAAAAAAAAAAAAAAAAAAAACAAAAAAAAATAAAGTGAATCACTCATTATTCACTTTATCATGCGCAGCGAACGAACAGCCATGCGGTCAGCGTAATCCAAGCGCGCCATCGAGAAAGCAAATGCTGGGCTCTTAACCCTATACAAGCAAGTGCAGTGCAGAGGGAATCGGAGTGCCGAACTACGCCAACGATCGAAGATCAGGGACGCTGCCGTTTTCGCCAAGGAATCGAAGATAAGGTGGGCCGGACACGTCATGCGATTTTGCGATGACCGTTGGACCAGAGCGGTTACCGACTGGATCCCTCGGGACGTCAAACGAACACCTGGACGACCGCCGGCCCGATGGTCAGACTTCTTCACGAAAGCTCTGAACGAAAGGAATGAAGAACACCGTGTCCCTCGAGCGAGGAGGGTCCACTGGACAACTCTTGCACGCGACAGGGACGAATGGAGACGTTGCTGGCGCCCGCTCGAGCAAATCGGTGATCAATGGGACGACAGATGATACAAGTGATATAGCATTTTAAACCATCAATGATTGCTGAAAGCAAAATAATAAGCCCCTAGAGAGCTCATTCCATTACTGTTCTTTTGGATGGCTTCTTCTCAAGTACTGTGGTGTGTGCAGAGCGTTTGTTCAGCTCGAAGATCTATATCAACAACTTCCGATGGTTTTCGTCATATTAAGTATTGGACTATCATCAGCCCTCATATTGAAAGATCTCGTCCGCTCTTCATAAAATGCCCACCATTTCTTTTGGTTGCGGTTCATCGAGCTAGTGATTGATTATACTTTTGACAGCACACTAAACGAACGGATGCCATCATTTCTAGACTGTCATCAGTCACGGCGATGGATCTGGTTTTGAGAAATGGTCAGAGATGACAAAATTCAGGACAGGACAAAGGTTGATCGATTGGCTCCCATGCGGGAAGTTGTAGATTAGTCGAAGATATCGAAAATCGATTGGCTTGAAATCAAAACTTAGTATTTTGTCGACGAGAAATAATCTCTCCTTTTGCGACAGTCGCTAAGCAGCCCTTTCTTGTAGGTAGCTGCTCATTTACAGCGGTTTTGTGCGCAGAGACGCGTTCTTTTTGAAGTCTACCCAACCTTCCAAAAAACGAGCCCAGCGTCGGGTGCAGACCATACACCACAAGTGACGACGGCCTCCAAGGAAATCTGGTTAGTAGAGGTTCTTAGTGATAGCTGATTTTTGGTAAATTGTATAATAGTTGTGATTAGTGACAAGCTAATAGAATACAGCTGGAACAGGCCAATCATTTCATTGACATAAAACATTTACACTTTGTGGAGGCTGTCGTCAGCTGTGGTGTATGGTCTGCACCCGACGATCTTCTCGTATTTTGAAAGGGAGGGTAAGTCTACAACTTTTGATGGTTCTCGCGTACTAAAATCTTTTTATTATTAGCCCCCATAGGCTGCGATGAACTTTATTTGACTCCGCACACAAAGTAAAGGCCAAATCATTCGGCGTCAATCAATTTTCTTATGATGCGCCACGCATTCTACTTCCATGTTTCAATGCGCCACGCATTCTACTTCCATGTTTCATCCAGCGAAATACGCTACACAGCGACAAACGGGACCAGCCGATGTGTAAATCAGTGTTCTGAACCCACAGACGAATCTGGAAGCAACATGTTGGAAGAATCGGTTCGCCTAGGCGGGATCTGTTCATGAACTCAATCCCTGACCAGATGTACGGTAACAGTGCCACCTTCATGCACGCCCTGATGTACGGAACGCGATTACATGATCTGTCATAGGCTCCGGGTTGATCCTCAGCAGATCAGAGTGCCAACTATTTGTTGCTCCTATCCGTTATCCACAACTTTAAAGGCAGATTTACGATGAACAATGAGGTATATAGCCCACTGAAAATAAAGGTAGAGGTGGTCAGTCACTCGCCACGTATAGACCTGCGGCGAGTGATTAGATAGTCGGTGGGCGTTCCGCGCCAACTGCGCCAAAGGGAAGGCCATGTTAGATCGCCGGGGCATATCCTTCGATGCGAATTGTGTGTTGGTCCGCACCCTTAGGGGGTCCGCCTTCTCTCCACTAGGTAAATTTCTCCTTCTTCGACCTTCGTTGTTATCGTGGAATCCTCCTCTGAGCTCACGATAGCAACACGATGAAAAGGTTCAGTATGCCACTTCAAATGGTGCCATTATTATCTCAGACTTTTCTTCAGCTTCTTTCACCTGATATTTCCGGGTCTATTAAATACCACCAATATCTTCGTGGGTTCCCATTTCCCAGCTAGCTAATGATTAAATTACATTACAGCAATTTTCGCCATCATTTCTTGAATAATGGCTAGTTACAGCAATGGGTCTGCTGCTGAGAGATGATGGTAGAGATGGCAGAAGTCGGAAAAGGGCAAAGATTGATCGGCAACTTCCGTAAAACTGTGCAGTAACTTTGAAGATTGCCAGCGACGGTATGCGCTGTAAGATGGCCATCGGACAGCATTGAAGAATATCGACTGTTACAGCAATCGAAGCTTAAATGGTTCCTCAATGTACACGGGAAAAAGGTTAGAAGTACAAATAGCCTTGTCGGCTTGTCTAGAAGGACTAAACACTGGAGTGCTGACCCTGCAAATTGTTGTACAGACCAATCTCAAATCTCATTCGAAGAGCAATAAAGGACAAGCAAAATACATTTACGATTTCAATGAGAAGTAGAATGCGTGGCGCATCCAAAATTGATTGATCGATGCCGAATACATTACAGCTTTCTACCTAGATTGTTTCATCGCAACCTGCTGTTTCAACGGAATGATTAAAAAGGAAGTAAGGGCACAGTCGGCATGACTTCGAGTGCTGTTCCAAAGGAATGATCAAAAGGAAGAAAAGGTCCTCACGACCTATACGCTTCTTATGATGTTAGCTCTTTCCAGTTCAATGAAAGATACATCAATTGGGAGAAAGTGCGTAGCTTCAGTTTCAGGACTCCTGCCCAAAGAGGCCACAGTTGTCCACTGCGTTTGTGGAAGGGAAGGTGGAAATGAAAGCTTCCAGTAGTGCTCGTACCTGGGCTTGATCAGCAACGTTGGTGCACTAGTCGGTTCAATCGTAGCCATATCAGGTACTGAAAGCACGATCAGCACTAGCGCTGACGACACTGCCAAGAAGTGCATAGTAATCGTTACGATCAGTCCCCAGTCATGACACTTTTTGATCAAACGCCGAAGCACCACACCACCTGAAATTGGATTGGATATGCTAGCACAACAATATTTATTCACTGTAATTGGATTGAAGCCTTGACGGTCACGCAGGCGAAAACAGTTTTCATAGCACAACATCGTGTAATTTCGTTTGATTAGCGCTGTTGTTGCTTGTCATGATATACCATTCCGACGATATGACCTTTTCAACTTTTAGGGAAGCATTTTGGATTAAGGATGCGGACAATGCCTTTAAAGCGAGGGATTACGATAAGTTTGGACTGGGTTCATAGTGGAAGTGGAGATGCTGAATAATGCCCCAGTGGCGAAAAAAGCAAAGAAATCCGTCAAGAAGGCGCAAAATGGGACCCCTTTCTTTGCCCGTTGACCTCCGATAATGGACGAGCTAGCAACCAATTAGGAGGTCGTTTGCACATGTTATGCTGATAGCCTCTATCATTTCAGCAAGCATCATGCTTTGATTGATCACGCATCCCATGAAAAGTTATAGGATACACTCTGGAAGTGGAATATCTCGTCACATTGGCAATCGAAGGGCGCTGCTGCTGGGGGCGGAGCACAGACCGTGGCGGGGCTCAGAAAAAAAAAAAAAAAAAAAAAAAAAAAAAAAAAAAAAAAAAAAAAAAAAAAAAAAAAAAAAAAAAAAAAAAAAAAAAAAAAAAAAAAAAAAAAAAAAAAAAAATTCCCACAACGCGACACCTTGGCAACCGGGTGGCGCAAAAACGCAGACATTTCGTTTCTTAGGGGCCCCTGACTACTGCCTTTCCAATGGTGCATGTATTAGGTTGTCTCAGAAGTTCGTGCGTATTTTGAACTTATTTTTGAGCCTGCACTATTCCAAGCACGTGTGCAACCTATCATCATTATATGTACCACCACTATCAGTGACTTGTTACCAACATCCAACCAAAGATTGGCAACTTAACTCTCAAAGGGCTGGCAGTTATGAGCTGAAAAAGGCAGTGAGGTCGATTTTGAGGTGCTAATGGGAATCGTATTTTTTGTCGTCAAGAAGGCGGCTGAGCAGAAAGGGCAGATGTCTTTCGAAAGAGAATGACTACCGCTGCACGATGAATGTGGTAGGCCTTTTCAGCTGGGCTTCGATATTCAGAATCGCTTCATTATCGAAATGTGTGGCCTCGGGTGTTCGTGGAGCGTACACACTTTTTCGAGTTTTAACGACATTTGTTGGGGTTTCACCGTGAGTCTCTGCCGTTGATCTCCCTACACTTGAGTGAATTCATATCTATAATGATTGACATGTCTCTAGTGGCTTACTCGATAACGCTCCAAAAGAGGTGGAGCACGACCTTGTGGTGAATTTCTTCACTTTTCACCCTCTTCTGTCCGATCTAGTCCCTGGAGATTCTAGGTGTGGTTGTCATGGAACCTGAGCTTCTCAACTGCAGTAGTAGCTTTGTTCAACCAGGGCGTACGGATGGAGCTGGACACAAATTGTAGACGGGACTCGTGCCGCACTCCTGTCATCAGTGATCAACTCATGAGGGAATCTTTGGTGAGGCTTCAACCATTCTACGAAGGAGCGAGAACCTCTACGCATTGTGCATCTGGAACACCAGGATGTGGTTGCCACAAAGCAGGTAGCCCCGTGTGGAGTGACTCCCACGAGAGAGCACAGATTCTCCAAATCCGACACTGATGGCCTCTCTGAACGTGGATTTTTCTACCGGCTGTAGTCTCCTGGGCAGAGAAGATCCAGCTATTCTGATACCTCACTGTTGGTGAGGGCGAGGAGATGTATCGCGATGCAGATGCCGCTTCAGGCTTCAATCGGTTTGTGGCTCAGTAGAGCTGCTTAAGTCAGAGCGCGAAAAACATAGCTCTTTTCTCTTTCCACTTTGAACTCGAAGAAGGCGACGATGGTGGGCAGGATTCGGGTATAAGCTACTGCACAGTGTGCCCTATCCACAGCCTACGTGAACACATTTTGAATTTGTTGAAGGAGCTTGTGGCATGAGATCCAAAAAATACGCACGAACTTTCGAGACAACCTAATATTCACGCTATACGAAGTTATATCGTAATCTCTCGCTTTAATGTCGCAGCAAAAGAATATTTATTCTCGGCGCAATCGTAGCATGAGCTCCTCTCGGCCTGCAGTGGCAGTACGACACCGATCGCAGCGCAAGAGGCGTTAGGCCTGTTGAGGAGGCACGGCGAGAGTTTGGCATCAAAGCGGCCATAAATCAACGCGCGCCAAGGAAGGCGTTACATTTCTGAGTTCCGAGCCGTTCCTCATGATTTTTCCTTCTTTCCTGCATCACTGACCACCCTTATGGTTAGCTTAATTTGAAATGAGTTGAATTTTCAGCGTAAAATTCCGCCTAGGAAAGAGCGCGCCCGACCAATTATTATTTGGAACTATACGAAAGTGAAAAAACAATCAAAATAATACAACTAATAATGAAATCATAGGTAACTTGCAGCATGATGAAAGAGCAGTAAACAATATTTGTACGGATTGGTACGGAAAAAGAAAAAGAATGCCCTGGCCAGATAACAATCAGTTTTTTTTATCAATGCATTTAGATTCAGTTTAATTTTTCTTCTGGCATGATTCTTTTAGTCTTTGGTTTGAGTAAGGGACTGAAAATACTATTTATAAAAGTTGCGTACCAAAAATCTCTGCTGATCCCATTGGCAAAGACTGGGAGACTGCAACAATATAGAATGTCTGGAGAGAGAGCAGAATGTGAAAAGCAAGTGTGGATTCGATAGACCGCGCCGATAAGGAATGACACGATCAAGCCCATGTAGCCAAAAAATGGCGTTAGCAACAACATATTCACTTCCGTCACAGATGACTTGAATTTGCCTGAAAAAGCAGATTCTCAAAGCGATGTGGGAAAGATAATGGGAAACTAGGGTAATGACTGAGTAATAACTAGGCAACTATATAAGAGGTAAGTAAGTGAGAAAAGTGCCTATGTTTCTCACAGTCTCTTCGGTTCTCCCCTCTTTCGTTTTCAAGTTTTTGAATTCGCAAGGCCAAATAGGCAGAAAATGCTCTTTGGTATGCACACAAGTATCCGCTGTTTATAGTTCAAACTTTGTATGAAGAAAGAAAAAAAACTAGCTCATTCTTACGAGCGTTTAAGTGCGTCACTGAAAACGCCCATTACCCATGGGATGCCAATAATACGTCACTACCTATCCACCATTGAATATTTACCCTTTGATTTCTGTTGTTGGTGGCCAGAAATTCTATCTACAACTATCTACAAGAATAGCTTGTGCAAAATACCCAAACAATGCGAAAATCTGAAAAGGACCCACCAAACTGTTCCTTCAAGCTGGGCACAACCTCCTGAGATTTCGACGCGATACTGTCGTACTGTTTGGTTGGCAGGCATACAAATATTACAACAGATATCATATTTAATGCGAAGAATGTGCCATAAATCAAATGAATTTGTGCGTCCGTGTAGGACTGCGAAGCGGCGGTTCGGCCGGATCCATCTGTGTAGGACTGCGATGGTAAGATCGGCCTGTCCGAGATCCAGTCTGTAAAGTGGAATTAGATAGAATGGATAGAAATCTTGATGAAACGCACAAAACTGTAGCGTACGGGTGAAATGAGATGGAAGATGAGCATTAACGCAGCTCCACCGATGAACATGCTGAAATGAGGAAAGATAGGAAGAAGGTAGTAGGACACTGAAGGACGCTACAAAGTACTCGACCCCCATAGCATCTGGATAAACTTCACAAAAGATGCCTCAATCAACGAGAAAACGATAGCACGGCTCATTCTCGGGGTATTTGCCTGCCGTTGTTCCATTGACAGTCATCGCTAGTTATCCACTGACCGCGAATTCTCCTCTCAATCTTCTATATCTCTACTTCAACCTTTGCCTCAATTTCGCTTCTATTGTGGTCGACCTTACATACAGAGATAACTTATCAGCAAGGGGACCAAGGGACTTCGGATGCCCTTGCTTTGTGATACTTATACAGTAAGCGTACCGCTAGCGACTCATTGTAAGAAGAATCGAACAGTCCAGCGTTTCCGCTTGTTGACCCGCGTTTGACAAATTTGTACGCTACGCGCACACAATCACATCCTTGTGAGAGGAAAGCCGCGACTTATGACACACTTGGTTTTTGACTGGATCGTTTTGTTTTTTATGGACACATTTTTGGGACTGAAAGTTCGCAGCCTTGCTTGAATGCTATTCCTAGAAGTGCTAAGAGTTCTTCCAATGGACTGCTTCATTCTCAAGCCAAATATTTACAATTTCAGCGATAAAATCAAAAACCACATTATCTTTTTTATTCATAAGAATTTGCAGATGATGTGCCAAAGACTACTTGGAAGGTGCCCATTATTCTTTATGCGATGTCTGAGCCGGATGGCAATATATTTGAAGACCTTCACATGGAGCAATTTTATGAGTCCTCCTTGTTTGTCCGTATTACAGCTCCTATTTGAGGATTTCCTTCAAAAACGTCGCGTTCTCGCCTTGTGACAAGGCTGTGGAAAACTCGCTTTTTTCTGCTGTCAGTCAAAGAATGGACGCACAGAGATACTATTGTTGGCTACTGTGCCGCCTATCCGCAAAATAGCCTTGCTTAGCGAATATTTTAAAATTTGCTCTTGTCAATTCTGAAACCAATGGTCACAGGGTCTGAGATACGAAAACAAGACTTTTTTTTGCAATTTTAAAGGAATCCTCCACGGAAAAAGCTCCGCCCTCATTACCACAGAAAACGATACCTTAAAGGAATCTTCCACGGAAAGAGTGATCATTTTGTCTTGTGTGTAGGATTAGTATTATCGAAACTAACGCTTATGTTCCGTTCTTTTTGCTATGCTCATGAGGCTAGGGGCCTAAGGTATCGTTTTTCTGTGGTAATGGAGGCGGAGCTTTTTCCGCGGAAGATTCCTTTAAGCATACAACTTAGAAACCGAGGCTAACAATATATTCTTAGATGGGAGTACAGTCCGACTGGCTCTTACTTATACCCAAGCTCTTTACTCTCATGAAGCATTCACCAAATGCTAAACACCACCTTGCAAGGGTTTTCTCAACTTGGACAATTGTAACGTATGTCACGGCAATGTGATTGCAAGGCTGCACGCGAGTGGTCTCTATGTTCTTAACACATCCGGCGATTATACTAAGTGAATAAAACACTTTCTTGAGCTCGATGAAGGTACCCTTGGTACCCTTGGAACACGACATTCTCGCAGCTTGAAAGCGTTCTCGTTGCTGTTGGTGGCAGGGTGAATAATGTCGAGGATTTCTCGACCATCGCTCTCTGCTGCGCGAGAGTAGAGCCGATAGTGAATGTACGCACGGAGAGCACAGGCGGCCTGCAGATGCGAGAGTGAATATCCGCGCGCGAGAACGTAAAGCGAATTTCATGCCAAAATCCTCGACGTGCCGTTGAGGATTCTTCAAGCATATTCACCCGTTGGTGACCGTTCGCTCTCATGCTCAAGATTTACCGGCTACGAGGTGGATGTATGCGTCGCGTTGGCTGTCGGTTACGGACCTCCCCTCGACCCACTTCGCCTCACCAGAGTCAACCCTGCGTTGCGCAGTTCGCAACGGCACGTTGAGAGATCCTCAACGCACGCTGTATGGGCGGAGACGCAGACGGCTCGAGCATGCGAGTGTGAATGTTCGCGCGAGAGAACGTGTCTAATCGGGCGAAACTGCGCAACGTGGCCGTTGAGAACTGCGCAACGCAGGGTTGACTCTTGCCTGACTCATGCGGCTCCCAATGAACTGGCTGTCTCTGCCTATCTCGTAAACCCCTCCATAATCCGAAAGAGAAGGCACTCAGTTCTGGTGCTGTCGATGACCTATTCCCCTTTTTCCTTCACTGGCGGTTTTAGTGAAACAGCCACATGAAGCGCGACGCCGAGCTTTTCTTTCTCGGTTTCAAAATGCAGCATCTCTTAAGAAAAGCGGTGATATAAACAAGGAATGGGGTGGGGTTCTAACCACGCTTTAAAAAGTAGTGGCTAAGGGCTCGCCAAGTAAAGCAAGGCAGATTACAGGGACCACAAGAAGACTGGTCAACCTACTATCGATCTGTTCACATACACCCCCCCCCCATAACCTCTTGTGGAATCTCATCAACTACTTGTAATTCACGTATGTTTGGAGGATTCTCACCTGCTGTGACCGACTGCCGTTTCAATGCCCGTATTTGATTCGAGAGTCCGTCTGGACGAATGTTCAGACAAGTACGCGCCTTCACCATTGTTATAAACTGAAAAGGCTCAACTTAATTTATAATAGATTAATTAAGGACAAGAAGCATACATTATACGAAGTTCAAGAGGGGGATAACGTAAAGGGAAGGGGAGTGTCTAAGGAGACGGTGAGTGGTAGAAAAGGCATCGTGAGGTCGTGTTTAAAGGCAGAATGTGATTCGGAAGCCACCTCCACAGCACTTCCCGCTCCTCAATCTTTGAGTAACCACCAGGTTGAGAAATGAATTTAAGTTTTACGTCTTTTTTCGTTTTAGAATTGATTTGCGACAGAACCCAGTGCTGGGTAGCACATCTGAACCCAGTACCCTATGTATCTAGATCCCTCCCTATTGCAACGATCAAGTCAGGTTTCGTAACCACGCCAATCGAAGTGACATCTGGAAGATGCAGAATTAGTCTTTATCTAATCTGACAGCCGTGGGGAATGAAAGAGTTTCGGAGGAGTACTAGGCTCTGAGCTGTGGGCGAAACAGTTCGTCTTAGCTGCAACTCAAACACTTACCTACTGCTTTCCGGACAAAACAAAATAACAAAACGACAAAACTGAGACGATTTCCTGTTCACTTACACGAATAGCCCACGCCCATAAGAGCTTGCGAGATATAGAAGTAGATATAATTGACGTGGATAAATCCCAGGTAGTAGATTCCGAACAGGATACTAGCCAGGGTGAGAATCCATTTAGAGCTCACATAGCTTTGTATAGATGGAGTGATAAGCGACGACGTGGCAAAAGCCGTATAATGGAAGGCTTGCCTAAAAGTTGGTGTATTCAAGTCAGTCTCAATTGTCGATAACCAGAAAACGAGCTCCCACTCACCCATAATATCCAGCAAGCCTCGAAATCCTTCCTGGATATCGTTCACTCACTGCATGAATGACAGCTTCGGATATGAATCCTTGCATAATATAACCCAGATAGAGGAATAGTGTCCCAGCGCCTAACATATAGACCGAAAGAAGTTCATGACGGCGAGGTGTGAGTTGCATTACTTTTACCGAAGTTTATAATTCTCTGAAAATTTAAAGTGCAAAAAGTACATAAAATTGAAGAAAGAATGAAGAGAACGATAAAAAAATGATATTCAAAGTAAGGAAAAATTATGAATTGAGGAA